ATCGGGGAAGGAGGAAACAGAGAGAACCGAGCTGCGCTCTCGGGCTGCACTGTTCCGTTGCAGTTTTCAGGTCTTGCTTGGGTCACCGACTTTGCACCAAGGTCGTGGACACCAAGATGCAGGCATCGGCTACTCTTTCCTCAGTTACTATGGCAGCGAAGAGTCCCAGCAGAGAACACTTTGGCTTCCCTCGGGTCACAGCTCGGGTTGGGGCGCTGAGATGGTTTTGCGAATTAATCTAGGAGGATGCAAGCCAACAGCTGGGTGCTAGGATTAAACAACAGCACGCAGTAATTCTATAATTATGAATTTTTTCATGTGAGTGTATGTGTTTTTTTTTTTTTTTTTTTTTTTTTTTAGTCTTGTTTCCCGGGCTGGAGTGCAATGGCTGGATCTCGGCTCACCGCAACCTCCGCCTCCCAGGTTCAGGCAATTCTCCTGCCCCAGCCTCCTGAGTCCCTGGGATTACAGGCACACGCCACCATGCCCAGCTAGTTTTTTGTATTTTTAGTAGAGACGGGGTTTCACCATGTTGACCAGGATGGTCTCGATCTCTTGACCTCGTGATCCGCCCGCCTTGGCCTCCCAAAGTGCTGGGATTACAGGCTTGAGCCACCGCGCCCGGCCTTGAGTGTATGTGATATTGTGCCAGAATTGCTAGCCTTTGCTTACAGTAATAACTAAAATAAGCAGCCCAGGATAAGTAAGATCTGTGTGTAAACAAATGCTTATCTTGACTTCTGTAAACCACTGAAGTAACAAACAGAATGACAAAAGTCCCCTGGCCCTTGGAATGTCCAGAGACCACCGCCCTCGTCTCCGCCCAGGAGGTGAATCACACAATCCCCTAGCCCTTGGAATGTCCGAAACCTTTTCATCCCCATCCCCGCACCTCACCCCCACTCCCAAGGTGGTTTTTCGGGTATAAAAAGTCTTGGCACCCTCCTTTTGAGGCCACAGGTTGGAGAGACGTGAGTCCTCTGTGGTCGCCGGCATAATAAATGACCCTGCAATCTGGCATACTTTTGTCATGGTGCTAACTTTCTACGCTCGGTCCAATACAACATGTACACGTTTTTTTTTAACCAACCAAGAATCACTGATAATTTTTACTTTATTTTGAAGACGAGTCTCAATCTGTTGCCTAGGCTGGAGTGCAGTAGCCCGATCTTGGCTCAATGCAACCTCTGTCTCCCGGGTTCAAATGATTCTCCTGTCTCAGCCTCCCGAGTAGCTGGGACTAACAGGCCCATGCCACCATGCCTACTAATTTTCGTGTTTTTAGTAGAGACCCGGTTTCACCACGTTGGCCAGGCTGGTCTCAAGCTCATGACCTTGGGTGATCTGCCTGCCTCAGCCTCCCAAAGTGCTGGGATTACAGGCCTGAGCCACCTTGCCCGGCCAAGCCAATCGCTGATAATTTTTAAAAGTTCAAAGCTGGGCCGGGCGCGGTGGCTCACGCCTGTAATCCCAGCACTTTGGGAGGCCGAGGCGGGTGGATCACGAGGTCAAGAGATCGAGACCATCCTGGTCAACATGGTGAAACCCCGTCTCTACTTAAAATACAAAAATTAGCTGGGCATGGTGGCGCACGCCTGTAGTCCCAGCTACTTGGGAGGCTGAGGCAGGAGAATTGCCTGAACCCAGGAGGCGGAGGTTGCGGTGAGCCGAGATCGCGCCATTGCACTCCAGCCTGGGTAACAAGAGCGAAACTCTGTCTCAAAAAAAAAAAAAAAATAAAAAAAAAAAAAAAAAAAGTTCAAAGCTAACTTTAAATATCAGGGGAATGTCTATCACAGACTCTTTTGTCACCACTCATTATCACTCCAGTTTAAAACAATTATGTATCTTATAATAAGGGAATTACTACATAAAGCTGAATTTACAAGAATTTATTAACAACTTTTAACCGGTAATTTTATTAAAATAGTTGACTACTTTTAGAATTTTAGACCATTCTAAATTCATAATCAACACAAAATCAGTTTCAAATGAGGTTACATCAAAGCAGAACTAAAACTTAGTGTGTATGTTGTGTCTTCCTCTATGTAATACCTACCTTACCAGAATGTCAGATTCTCTCCTTTACAACCTGTTTTCACTGTCCTTGCCCAAACTCACTGTTACCAATCTATTTTTATGTGTAACTTTTCTGCTTTTTCTAATATCTACCCCTTATTTTAACTATGTAGCTTTATAGACTGTTTTAATATTTAAGAGAGCAAGTCTACTCTTTTTTGGGACAGTCTAGTTTTGTCTCCCAGGCTGGAGTGCAATAGTGAATCTCAGCTCACTGCAACCTCCGCCTCCTGGGTTCAAGCAGTTCTCTTGCCTCAGCCTCTAAGCAGCTGGGATTACAGGCACCTGCCACCACACCAAGCTAATTTTTGGTTTTCTTAGTAGAGCCCAGGTTTCAATATGTTGGCCAGGCTGGTCTCGAACTTCTGACCTTAAGTGATCTGCCTGCCTCAGCCTCCCAAAGTACTGGCAATACAGGCCTGAGTAACCACGTCCAGCCCTCACAACCCTTTCAATTCATCCAAAACACTTTTTTGTTTTCTTTTTTTTTTTTTTCCTGTAGATGCAAAAGTCTTAAGAGTCAAAGGTTTCTAATATTGCCCAAATACAGTCACATGCTGGGGTACTGGGGTTAGGACTTCAATATATGTTAATATGTACAAAGGATGGAAGGAGTTTAGGATCATTCCCTTCCCCCCCAATAACAAAATGTTAAATGGGCCAGGTGCAGTGGCTTATGCCTGTAATCCCAGAATTTTGGGAGGCAGAGGTAGGTGGATCAGTGGAGGGCAGGAGTTCAAGACAAGACTGACCAACATGGTGAAAACCGGTTTGTACTGAAAATACGAAAATTAGCTGGGTGTGGTGGCACGCACCTGTAATCTCAGCTACTAGGGAGATTGAGGCAGAAGAATCACTTCAACCTGGGAGGCGGAGGTTTCAGTGAGCCAAGATTGTGCCACTGCATTCCAGCCTGGGTGACAGAGCAAGACTGTCTTTAAAAAAACCCAAAGTGGCCGGGCGCGGTGGCTCAAGCCTGTAATCCCAGCACTTTGGGAGGCCGAGGCGGGTGGATCACGAGGTCAAGAGATCGAGACCATCCTGGTCAACACGGTGAAACCCCGTCTCTACTAAAAATACAAAAACTAAGCTGGGCATGGTGGTGCGTGCCTGTAATCCCAGCTACTCAGGAGGCTGAGGCAGGAGAATTGCCTGAACCCAGGAGGCGGAGGTTGCGGTGAGTCGAGATCGCACCATTGCACTTCAGCCTGGGTAACAAGAGTGAAACTCCGTCTCAAAAAAAAAAAAAAAACCCGAAGTGTTCAATGGTTTTATAAAAATCCCACCAGTGGCCAGGTGCAGTGGCTCACACCTGTGATCCCAGCACTTTGGGAGGCTGAGGTGGGCAAAACACGAGGTCAGGAAATCGAGACCATCCTGTCCAACATGGTGAAACCTCGTCTCTACTAAAAATATAAAAATTAGCTGGGTGTGGTAGCGTGTGCCTGTAATTCCAGCTACCTGGGAGTCTGAGGCATGAGAGTCGCTTGAACCCAGGAGGCAAAGGTTGCAGTGAGCTGAAATCATGCCACTGCACTCCAGCCTGGCACCAGAGTGAGACTCCATCTCTAAATAAATCAACCAACAAACCAACCCACCAGGGCCAGGTGCAGTGGCTCATGCCTATAATCCCAGCACTTTGGGAAGCCAAGGCAGGAGACTGAGGTAGAATTGCTTGAATCAGGGAGGCAAAGGTTGTAGTGAGCCAAGATGACACTACTGCACTCCAGCCTGGGTGACAGAGTGAGACTCCATCTCAAAATTAAAGTAAAAAATAAAAATTCCACCAGGAAAAACCTGAAAAAATATTCATCAAATTTCTGTGGAAGAAAATTAGGAGCTCCTAAACTTAAAAGGGTGGGGACATGGGAGAACAGAAACAGTAATTGATTTAACTAAATAAAAATCTATCCGATTCCAAAAAAAAATTTTAAGAGGTTGGAAAATATTGGTGATAATAGACCATTGTTAGAAAAACTTATAGAGATAAAAATCCTTCACCAGTTGAAAGAAGATAGGAATGAATAAAGAAAAAGATAAATGAAAAAAAATTTTCAACATCACCACTAATCAAAAAAGCACAATTAGACTTTTGAGTTCAAAACTCTTGCAAAAGGCTAGAACGCTTTATTGCCGAGGAGTGAATTAATTCCATGAGTCAAACCAATCTTAATTGTGCTTGAAGCCACAGAGCTTTTGGCACTCTTCACCCCAGAAATTTTGCTTCCAGAAAGCGTGGCAGCAAGGATAGGAGCTGCTTTGCACAAATTGGTAATCTGAGTACAACACGTAGTGGAAAAACCTGGACCATGCTGGACACCTGTGCAACCTTGCCTTGCAGAAAAAAGCAGACAACTGGCTCCAAGGCAGGGCACCATCCACAAGCCAAGGTGCCCAGGTTCCCTGCTCTTCCACGGTGAATTGCAATGCTAGGGTTAATGAATGCTGACTGCTCAGGCTTGGTTGTCGGAATCTCATCCTGTGGCCAAAGAAGGCCTCACTCTAAGAAAAGGCACAGCCGGTGCTCCTCAGGGGGTCAACTACCAAATTCAAAGTGAGAAATTCAGATGAGCTGCTTTGGTAGTACTTGTGAGCTCATTAGAAATGCAAATTATAAACCCTACCCCAACAGTACCGAATCAGAATCTTCTGAACAAGGAGCCTAGGAGATTATGTCTTAACAAGCTCCCAAGGTGATTTATTACAAGCTTTAAAGTTTGAGAACCAGTGACGTCAAAACAAAACAGATCACCATTTGTGAGGCTATCTGCCCCCTGTGGCTGAGGGCCTGACTCTGACCATAAAATCATAAAAGGTTTAGGAGTTTCAAAATGATGAGAATTCAGGAATAAACCCTACAAAACTACAATCTGCCAGCCTTCTACCCACCCTTCATATTCAAAACATGAATGAGAGCCAACCTTTTATAAATTTGCTTTATTATAAGTGTACGAAGATCTTAATGTCACTGGGCAAAATAGCCATTTATTAGAATAGTTCAAATTCACTCTTGCAACAAAATAAACCTGATTCTATCAAGACACAGGAAAAACGAATGCAGGGATTTAGGAATGCTATACTTGCTTCTCTTCGACTGAAGCAGCAAAAGTTGCAAATTTCTCAAGATGCTCCTGACACTGTTGTCTTAAGCAACAGAATCCTGGGGTGTGTGGGGGTCTGATGTTTGGGTCTTCAAGTTCTTCTCAAGGTGTTTCATCTTCTCAGCTGGAAGAGAAACAGTTGATACTGACCATGGACGGGGAGAAGTGTTCGCTGTTTCAAACTTCTCAGTGATTGGGAGTTGGGGAGGAGAGGAGGATCTGGGGTGGAGGCTCTGAACTTGGGATCTGCGATAGTGCTGTAGCCCAGCTGAGGCTGACTTGGGCAGTGATGGGCCTGAATGTATCAGCTCTCCACTGACTTTCCCAAGGTCCTACCCTGGGGATCCCCTCCCAACAAACTTCGCGCAGCTTCCTGGGGCGCGGAAACCAAGAAATTAAGAGGTTAAGGGAGGATGGAAGGAAGCCAAGCAAGACCAGTATGGTCACTCGTGGCTTCCTCCACGTGTAAGTTCTCAAAGACCCTCACCTCGGGCTCGATGTTCTCGGTGAAACCATGCCAGGCACAGGAGCATGCTCTTCACCCTATTCTGTACACGGGGCCGTCCAAAAATGGTGATTTCGACTAGGTTCCCAGAGTCCACTATGTCCACTGTCAACAGGGCCTGGCTCGTCCACTCCATTTCTGGAATTATGGCTCGGTCTGGGCCTAAACAAGTAAGGAAAGACTATTTAGGGGCCGCACAGTCGCAGATTAGAAGCTGAATTTGAAGGGAATGTTGACCAGGGAAGGGAAGAGCTGGAAGGTGGGCACCACAGCAACACTCCTGGCTTACGAATCTGGGAAAGAGGCTGCAGAGAGCTGCTCTGCCGAGCCTCTCTCAGACTGAGAGACAGAGTCTGGGTCGCTCACCAAAGAGCGCGTCTGCCAGCCATGCCTCCAGGTAGAACACCAAAGGGTTTCTCAGTTCCTGCACCGGAAACCACCAGGGCCGGATGCGAATCTGTGGCGGCGGAAGTGGTAACCTATGCAGCTGCTCCAGGGAGTGGGCCGGGGTCCGTTTGCCCCGCGGGGACTCAGCAGTACCAGCCTGATCGACCATACTGGAACCTGCAGCCGTGGAGCCCGCTCCGGGAGGCTTTCACGTTACCTCCTCCAGACCCAGCGGCGAGGCGCCGGCTCTCTTTTACACTATTCGACTCTCTCCGCCCCTTCCGGCGGAGCCTGGCACCGCTTCCGGGTGAGCTGACGCACTCGACGCCTGGGCCTAAAGGCGCATCCGGCTCTTCCTGCGCTGACACAATCATCAGGACTGCCTTTTTGACCTAGAACTAGTATTCATTTGGGCTGCTGTTGAGTCTTCAACGGTCTGCTTCGACATCTCTGCCTCGTAAGGTATATTTAGCCTAAAAGCGTCTGCTCACCGAATGGCTGATTAACAGTGTCAGTTTGAATTGACGACCCTGTTGACTGGGAATCACCTTTGATGTCTAGGTTAAGGTTTCGACGTTGCCTTCTAAAGATAGGTAGATCAGACTCAGGCAGGCTTGTTGAATGTGTCAGTTTTCTCTCTTCTGCCCCCTTGTTATCTTCTGACACTCTGGATAGTTACCATTTTGAAATTATTCCAGGAAATGTGCCATGTTTTAAGCAAAAAAATCAGAGGTGGACTTATAGAACATATAGCAAGTTACACAGTTTTCCTTTATTTCCATTATCCTAGACGACCTAAGACAGCCAGTATCGATGCATATTTCTTCTCAATATTTGTAATTTTAATTCGAAATTTGAATTATGAAAAGTTTCACACATCCAAGAGAGTAATATAACACAGCCATGTACCCTCTCCCAGTTTAACAGATGTTGACATTTCCCCACATTTGCTTTACTTCTCTGTTCTTTAAAATAGATATTACTCAAGTATCTTTCCTTTCCCTTTCTAGAGGACATCATACTGAAGCTAGTGTATATCATCCCCATGAATGTCCTTACATATTTTCTACTGTATTTCTAGAAATATTGTTTGGTAGTTGTTTCAGAATAGATAGTATCTGCCGATGCTGTTAAAAGAAAGTCAAGTTCGGGCGCAGTGGCTCACGCCTGTAATCCCAGCACTTTGGGAGGCCGAGGCGGGTGGATCATGAAGTCAAGAGATCGAGACCATCCTGGTCAACATGGTTAAACCCCGTCTCTACTAAAAATACAAAAAATCAGCTGGGCCTGGTGGCGCGTGCCTGTAATCCCAGCTACTCAGGAGGCTGAGGCAGGAGAATTGCTTGAACCCAGGAGGCGGAGGTTGCGGTGAGCCGAGATCGCGCCATTGCACTCCAGCCTGGGTAACAAGAGCAAAACTCCATCTCAAAAAAAAAAAAAAAAAAAAAAAAAAGTCAAAGGCGGGGAGTGGGGGAGAAGAAAAAAAAGATAGTATCTGCCAAATATACTATTTTGTTCTTACAATTAACTATGTGTTTGTTCTAAAAAATATTTTCTGGGGAGCGGGAAAAAAAAATTTCTTTTGTTCCAAGATAGGTCTCTATTGCCTAGGCTGGAATGAAGTGGCACGATCTCGGTTTTCGCTGCATCCTGGACCTCCCAGGCCCAAGAGATCCTCCCACCTCAGCCTCCTGAATAGCTGAGACTACAGGTGCCTGCTACCACACCCAACATTTCCAATCTTTTTTTTTTTTTGGAGAGTCAGGGTCCCACTATGTTGCCAGGCTGGTTTTGAACTCCTACCCAAGCAGTTCTCTCACTTTGGCCTCCCAAAGGGTTGGGATTACAGGTGTGAGCCACCACAGCCAACATAGAAGAAAAAAAGCTCAAAATAGTGGAAAGAATGTTGCAGATTCCACAAGATCATCTTGGACTATGTGGAGGCTCCAGTTTTCTGTCCCTGAGCCCACCCCCTGTCACCCTCAATGGTTTCTGAGATAACTTGAGTATCAGATGTATAGGGTATACTTTCAGGAAAACAAGATTTAGCTATGGCACTGGTGGAATAAACATTTAAAACCTTAACCTTTGCAATGGCATGCATGTTATGAAAAATAAAAAATAAAAAAATAAAACCTTAACCTGGCAGGGCAAGGTGGCTTATGCCTGTGATCCCAGCACTTTGGGAGGCCAAGACAGGCAGATCACCTGAGGTCAGGAGTTGGAAACCAGACTGGCCAACATCGTGAAAACCCATCTGTACTAAAAATACAAAAATTAGCTGGGTGTGGGCTGGGCACGGTGACTCACACCTGTCATCCCAGCACTTCGGGAGGCCAAGGCAGGCAGATCACCTGAGGTCAGGAGTAGGAGACCAGCCTCACAAACATGGAGAAACCTCGTCTCTACCAAAAATACAAAAGTAGCCAGGCTTCTGCAAGGACAATATTAAAGAAAAAAGAAAGCAGCAAAAAAAATAAAATAAAAAAAATAAAGGTAGCCGGGCATGGTGGCAAATGCCTGTAATCTCATCTACTTAGGCTGAGGCAGGAGAATCACTTGAACCCAGGAGGTGGAGGCTGCTATAAGCCAAGATTGTGCCATTGCACTCCAGCCTGTGCAACAAGAGTGAAACTCCATCTAAAAAAAAAAAGGGGGAAAAAAAAATTAGCCAGGCATGTGGTGAGGACCTGTAATCCCAGCTACTTGAGAGGCTGAGGCAGGAGAACTGCTTGACCCCCAGAGGCAGAGTTTGCAATGAGCCAAGATGGCACTGATGATACCACTACACTCCAGCCTGGGCAACAGAGGGAGACTCCATCTCAAAATACAAAAGGCAAACAAACAAACAAAAAAAGCTTAACCTAATCAAGGCCAGGTACTGTGGCTTGCACCTGTAATTCCAGAGCTTTAGGAGGTGGAGGCCAGCAGATCTCTTGAGCCAAGGGGTTTGAGGATGCAGTGAGCCATGATCACACCACTGTACTCCTGCTTGGGTGACAGAGTGAGACCCCAACTCAAAAATAAGTTCAAAAAAATCTAAAACCTTAATCTAATCTCTTTAGGGCTGGAAAATTCTTTCTCTCTTTCTCTTTTTCTTTCCTTCTCTTTTTTGAATCCAGGCTGGAGTGCAATGGCACAATCTCAGCTTACTGCAACCTCCCCCTCCTGGGTTCAAGTGATTCTCCTGCCTAGGCCTCCCAAGTAGCTGGGATTAGAGTTATGCACCACCATGACTGGTGAATTTTGTATTTTTAGTAGGGGTGGAGTTTTACCATGTTGTCCAGGCTGGTCTTGAACTTCTGACCTCAGGGGATGCACTCACCTTGGCCTCCCAAAGTGCTGAGATTACAGGCTTGAGCCACCTCACCTGGCCCAAAAAAAATTTTTTTTTTCAGATGGAGTTTCATTCTTGTTGCCTAAGGTGGAATGCCATGGTGCTATCTTGGTTCACTGAACGCTTCATCTCCTGGGTTCAAGCAATTCTCCTGCTTCAACCTCCCGAGTAACTGGGATTAGAGGCATGTATCACCACGCCCGGCTAATTTTTTGTATTTTTAGTAGAGATGGGGTTTCTCCATGTTGGTCAGGCTGGTCTCAAACTCCCAATCTCATGTGATCCACCCGCCTCGGCCTGCCAAAGTGTTGGGATTACAGGCGTTAGTCCCCACACCTGGCCCAAAAAAATATATATATATATATATATATATTTTTTTTTTTTTGAGACGGAGTTTCGCTCTTGTTACCCAGGCTGGAGTGCAATGGCGCGATCTCGGCTCACCGCAACCTCCGCCTCCTGGGTTCAGGCAATTCTCCTGCCTCAGCCTCCTGAGTAGCTGGGATTACAGGCACGCGCCACCATGTCCAGCTAATTTTTTGTAGTTTTAGTAGAGACAGGGTTTCACCATGTTGACCAGGATGGTCTCGATCTCTTGACCTCGTGATCCACCCGCCTCGGCCTCCCAAAGTGCTGGGATTACAGGCTTGAGCCACCGTGCCCGGCCAAAAATATATTTTTAAAATATATATACATGCCTGTAATCCTATCACTTTGGGAGGCTGAGGATCACTTGAGCTTAGGAGTTTGAGTCCAGCCTGGGCAACATAGAGAGGCCTTGTCTCTACAAAAAATAAAATAATTAGCTGGTTGTGGTGACAGGCGCCTGTAGTTCCAGCTACTCAGGAGGCTGAGGGAGGATAGCCTGAGTGTACAAAGTCGAGGCTGCAGTGAGCTATGATTGCACCATTGCACTCTAGTCTGGGTGACAGAGTGAGAACCCATCTCTTAAAAATGAAGAAAAATGATGTACAATTTTATGTATTTTTTTTAATGGAAGAAAGGGGCTCTATTAAAAGTACCTGGAGTCTATGACAGTCATAATGCCTGGCCACCCTCATACAGTGATGTGGAACCCCAGAGGCCCAAGTATAACTAGGCCCTTTCCAGGACCCATTACCCAGCGTTTGCCCAGCTCTCCACTTCTGTGGTGCAGAGCCAGTTCAGATCTATAGGACCAAAACTTGAAGCCAACCCCAATCCTACCAGCAACAAAAGATGATGGTTGCAGAGATGGTAAAGAAGGCTCAGATTCCAGGCCTGCCCCCAGCCCTAAAATTGTAGTCCAACACATACTTCTTTCACCTTACCTTCTCTGTATATTTGCCTGTGTGATCATAGTCTGGAGTTTTTTGTTTTTGTTTTTCGAGACGTGGTTTCACCATATTGTCCAGGCTGGTCTAGAGCTGCTGGCCTCAAGCAATCCTCCTGCCTTGGTCTCCCAAAGTGCTGGGATTACGACATGAGCCATGCCCAGCCTAGTCTGGAGTTTTTACTGGAACTGTTAAATATGTCTTCTCATCTTTGTTTTGATTTACTGATGGGAGAAGGGAGACTGATCTCGTACTTAACTCTTCTTTTAAAAAACCAGCTGTCCTTGCTGACGTACTTGAGTGGCTTTATTCGTATTTAAGATGAAGCTGAGCTTTCTGGCCATTTCTAGAATCCCCTCCAAGCTACCTCTTTACTGAGAGAAATAACCTTTTCCCAGCTAAGAGAAGAGAAAGTAAAAATCTGATTAGTGAGGCTAATGGGATGGCTCAGCCCTGTAATCCCAGCACTGTGGGAGGCTGAGGTGGGAGTACCTGAGGCCAGGAGCTGTAGACCAGCCTGGGCAGCACAAGGGGGCCCTGTCTCCACAAAAGAATTAAAAATTAACAGGGTGTGGTGTCTCATGCCTTGTAGTCCCAACTACTCTGGGA